GGGGGCAGTTTTAGGGATGGTTGAAGGGAGAGAGTTGTAGTGATAAAAGGATTGAGAACGAGTGAAAAGACAGTCATTTAGGAGGAGGAGGACTGTCAACGTGTAGTATTTGAGCGCCGTGTAAGGCGGGCGAGAGGAAGGCACACTATGTCACCAACTCAACACAAATAATGACATCACAAAGGATATAAAATAAATAAATAAAAAACTCACCACAAAGAGAAAAATGTTGATGATAAACAGTACGAGAAAAATAGTGTATATTTACAACAAAGGATCAGATTCTTCAGATTCTCCGTATTTTCTCTCACAACATCACACGCCAGAACTCTTACAATAAATAAACACGTGTATGGCAGCTACACTAGCCTACTGAATATCTCATTTCACCAAAAACAGAAAACGGAGATAGGACGTTGGGCAAACTACCGTGTTTTATTTATGTAGTTAGTCATTTCTTAGCAATTCTTCTCTACGATTACATACTATTGAATTTCACTGGGGAATTTATATGTTATAAACTACTTTATTATATTATTTAAAGCTTCTTGAAAGATAGATATCCAGATTTTTCGAAAATATCAAGTCATTGCAATACGTCGATTAAAATAGTTTCTCCTCTATGCATTTATCTATCGTTTAGAGAGACCACACACACCATACCTTGTTACCTTCATCACGTATTGTCCATCTTTTGTAAAATAATCGGTAAGTTTCATCAAAATTGGTAAAACTAACTTGGTTGAGTGTGTGTGTGTGTATAGGTACCCGCAGCTCTCACAGGACGACATTGCCCATGTGTCCTATACGTCACTGTTGAAGATGACAGCAGCCTTTAGCACCTATGATTTGGATCCACTTGCCCAGACCAGTTCTATATGACCATCACCAATAGTGGAAGAAAAGCGACGAGTGTGTTTGACCATAGTCTGCCTGGCCAGGTCCCTCTCATGAAAACCATCGAGGGTAGCAGAAGGCTGACGAATATGTGCGTCCATTACTGTATTTAGCCTTGCCATTAGCCTTGGAGTCATCACCGGTAGTGGCAAAAAACAGACGACTGTACCTGTGTGTGTGTGTGTGTGTGTGTGTGTGTGTGTGTGTGTGTGTGTGTGTTGCTACCCCCATACTCACTACATGGTAAGGTACAGATGGAAGGAATGCCAAGTGAAACAGACCTGACCCTCGTGGTGCTGATGTATACCTGAGAGTTTTAGTGGTCCATTATAGAAGTTTCAGATATCTTGAGACAGGGCACGACCGATGTGTGACGACTTGGTTGTTCTGGGACCGACGAGGATATGTGACAAACCCAGACGAATATAAACAGCTGTTCCAACACAAGTAATATAGTAAGTTGATCTAATGTAATATTCCTCTTGGATTGTTATTTATTGGTCAAAGATTATGAAATAGAAGTATTATGTAAACATCACTCCAGTTAGACAGGAAATTAACTAGTTAGTAGTTAAGGACAAGGCAACTACTTAAACTAACAAGCTCTACCACACACTCCGCTCGACTGATACCGAATCCAGCACTGATAATATCTGACATCATAAAGATAATTTTACTACAGGCATTAAACTGAAGGCGCTCGTCCATCTGGCGTAACTTCCATGTGCTTGAAATTGCTAGTAGACGCTTCTGACTGCTCGTGCTGGTGACGTTCTTATGGGCAACGTGTCTCCTTACAACAGAACGTTCATTACGGTAACTGAGACGACTACTATATGTGGCGTTGTGGTGTGGCCTTACCATAACTCACTATGGCAGTATATAATTAACAGAGACTCGCCTAAAACAAATACTGCATCCCGCCGGGGGTTAATTTTCTAGAGATGAGGTCGTCGCCCAAAGAAGGAAAAGGGAACAGTTTGGAGACAATGACACACTTCTCGCCCGCCATTCACGACGTACTGTATATGGGTGTGTGGACTTGCTCCCTCGCCCGCTGCATACATGATAATGTCCTGCCTCCACCGGAAACTTGTTGTGCTCGCTCTATACTCATAATAATGGAAGCTCCTCGAAATCGAGGATGACCGGCCCAAGGACCACCTAGGTGTGAATTTGTTTAAGGTGTAGAAGCTGTCGCCAACACAACAACCACACCCTAAGTTAACGAGCTACATGACCCAGTGTCAAGGAATAGTCCGAGAAGACCGGGTAACTCGCCAACTGCACTGGCTAATCATTACTCCGGAATACGACCCGCAAATCGATTAACATCTAGGTTCCCAATTACTGCTAGGTAGACAGAGGCAAGTGGCGTAAAGAAACTTCCCCATAGTTTCACCCTGTATACTATCGAGAAGGCCACGAACATAGGAATCACCAGCACCACTGATTCCAAGATGTCACGATTCTCACTTTGGAGCCAGTGTGTGTGTGTGTGTGTGTGTGCGTATAAAGGAGATGTTTATAATATGTCTATGGGCCTAACGATCAGCCTCATGCCAACTGTGAACCCCTGATATGACCTCTTAAGCGTGAGGGTTCGCCACACTTGATTTTCAATTCGCCGCGCTTGAATCTTTAACGTTACGGTTAAAATCTGGTCCGCCACGCTTCAAAATTCGTAGAATCAGTATAACTTTTACATATTTAATGCATTCTGCGGATATAATGCTGTTATATCACATAGTGTTTGCATGTTATTTGTTCATAAATATATACACATTTATAATCTTTTCGGTGCTACTATTGCGTGCGGTCTACAATGATATCTTTAGTCTAACCTAACCTGACTTAACCTTACCTAACCTTACCTAACCTAACCTAACCTTACCATACCTTACCCAAACTTACCTAATCTGACCTAACTTGACCTAAATTAACCTAACCTAACTTAACCTAAATATCCTGTAGACCGCACGCTATATGAGCAGCACTTTCTTTTCGATATACTTATATAAGGCACTTAATTTTTTCCACCCTTTAGGTCTAAGGTCACCATAGTTACACCTCATACACCTCACGCTACACCGCCAGCCGTGAGTGTCTTCCTGTAGGGATCCTGGTACAAGGGGTGGAGCCATGTTGACATTTGTGTGTGTCGGTGTGAGGGGTGTGAGGGGTGTGAGGGGTGGGGTGGGGGGGATGTCACTATCGACATTTGCGCGAAAAGCTCTTTGTATTTTTATATGTTCATATCATCAGTTCAGTGATGTTATTTATTTTGTTATCACTTTTAGTTAATTTATAAATTAAATCTACTGGATTTTATAGTTTGATATTAACCCGTAGAGTCGTCGTATTCAAAGGGTTAAGGCATCGTACCCAAGGAATTAAATTATTGTACTGAAGGGGATAAGTTATCGTACTCAAGAGGTTAAACCATCGTAGTTAATGGGTTAAGTCATCGTACTCAAGGGTTAAATCATTGTGCTGAGAGGGTTTAATAAATGTACTCAAAGGATTACGGTATATTAATCAGTGGACTAAGTCACTGTACGCTGCTGGTGGTTGACATCATACTCAAGGAGTTAAATGTTTGTTTCATTTTATGTGTGTACAGAGACAACATTGCTGAGTGGGGTAATGGTAGGTCATTGTACGTAAGTTACACACACAAACAGCGCCGGATTTAGGAGTGTGCGGCCGAAGGGGGCCCCCCATTTTCAGGGTACCCGACTTTAAACATAGAAAATAAAATATAAGAAGCTAGAATTTTTTTTATTATGACACTGGCTAGTTAGCTCTTCCGTTGTTGAATGTAGTTGGCAACCTTGGGGGGGGGGGTGTATATGAGATAGGATACGCCGTTTCTTATTCAGAGGTTTAAGGAAAAAATATCGTTTCCATATTCTAGGCCTGAGGTAGTCAATGTTTCTGTTAGGGTGTCTTACTTTTATAACAACAGCTGTGGGTGTGTTATTAAAATTAAGTAGGGTGGGGCTCAGGCACGTCTGAACTGCTCAGGCGCTGCACACACACATACATGTGCGCGCGCGCACGGAAAAGTAAAACAGAAGTAAAACAAGGAAAAGTTTAAAACGTAAAGCAACTGATCATCACCACGCCAACACACAATACCTTCTCTGTAACACACTGGTGCAACACTCACTCCTAAAAAAGTCAGAAACTGCACAATGTAATCACGACCTCTGGGTAGTTACGTGTGCAGGATGACAGGACGTCTTCACAGCTGGACAATGGAGGTCAGGTCACGTAAGGTCTGTTAGGTCAGTTTAATGATGGCAACGAGGGGATATATTGTGACGTGACCCACTGATAACGAAGGTCAGGTCAAGTCGTATTCAGTCACGGGTAAATAATGGTATTGAAGGCAGTCATGCTTGTGCCTTCGTTCACTGACACATTCACCCAGTTCATTTTTTTCCCGAAGATGTTTCCCCAAATTTTGAAAACTGTTCTTTTGGTGTCGTTCGGTACAGGTTGTGTTCTGTACAGTCTCGTTTCTTTATACAGTAATTAATGTATTTTTTAACACGTAACTGAGAATGGAAGATCACATCTAACTGGCTGACGAAAAGTTCACAACCAAAATGATGTTGAAATTACACTTAAGACATTACTACGGTATATCAAGGTACGTTCCCTACTCCCTAGATAAGAGGAAAAAATACCTTATGACTCTTTGAAAATCCAGGCTATAGTTTTAGTATTCTCAAACATTGCCGAGGCATTTTCCCCAATGAATGGAATAGAGAACGCATGTATTTAAGGTAGAGTCTTGGGGCAATTTTGACACCTTTTCTGGCCAATTAGACACGTTCTCACACTTCGAAATGACATAACGCAGGATCAATTGAGAATCCATCGTTCTATCAGTATCTTAAGCGGGCCAGTTAGATGTAGTCTCTCATTTCCAGTTCAGGGTAAAAATTCATCGTAGGATTTTATATGAGACTGTGAACCGCACGTACGGTAAAATAATCCCGTCGGGGGGTGTTGTGGTAGCGCGAGCGGGCGGCGAGACGGCACTGAGAGAAAGAGAGAGAGAGACAGACGGACAAACAGGCAGGAGAACCGACCTACCCGCACCACACTCACCAGCATGACTGACGCCCTTCCTACTGTGTCTGCCCACCACACCTCCCTTCCCACAGCCGCCCGCCGCCCACCACCCACCCACCTCAACCACCACCCACCCTTTCGTCCATCTGTCACACCAACCCACCGGCCCGCCGTCACACCCACCTCATTACCCAGCCATCATACATTACCAGGGATATTCACCCACCTGTTAGAATCTCCCCCAAAACGTATTAAACTCGGAATACCCACAATCCCACCCACCCACCCGCCCACCCAGAGATACCTAGCTTATCCATTCACCACCCCCACCCATTAAACCCACCCGGAGGAGTGTTTTCAGCGAGTAATGTTAATTTTTTGGACTTTTCTGGAGTGCATATTTCAATGTGTAGAAGAAGAAGAAGAAGACGAAAACAGTGAATAATAATAATACGAAGACAGAGAAGAAGAAGAAACGAATCCACCAACACTGTGAATCATGAAAAAAAATGGAAAATCGATCACAACCTTCAATAATTTCCAAGACTTAAGGTAGACTCGGACACCCTCGGTCTGGTGTTGGCGTCAGTATGGAAATAAAGTATCTCGACGCCGTCTTGGAAAGGTGTTGAAGGCACGTGGGTAACATCTGCATATTTATGAATTTACTAAAAGTGTTTGGCTTCGTATTTTTACGTGAATGGCGACTCGTTGCATATATGGTACACGATGAGAATTATTGTAACTCATATTTCATCTTTTATTTTAATTTATTATTTTTTTATTGACTCACCTGAATATTCGTCCCTTAGTTTATTTCACCTGATGATTACCCACCCTTAAGCGAACCTAACCTAACCTAACCTAACCTTACTAAACTGTAATATATTCTGAGAGGTAGGTTAGGTTAGGTTAGGTTACGTTAAGATACGCCTGACTGCTTCGTTCTGCTGTTTTACAATATGGCCGACACGAATTTTACCGAAAAAAAAATCGTAAACTTCAAACTTTAAAATATTTACATGATTTATCTTAACAAGTAGAACAACATATGTCGTAAGATGTTCGTAAGAAATACTGCCAAATGATGGGTTAAACTAGAGTGTGGATCTGATCTTCATAATGCCTTGTTTTCCGCCTCTCACCTTATAGGAACTTCGAGGTGTATCTTATTCACTAACATTTAATCTGGTTCTATGTTCAAAGTCAAGAATTATTACCAATATGTATTATAAAAATGAAAATAATAATAATAATAATAATAATAATAATAATAATAATAATAATAATAATAATAATAATAATAATATAATAATAATAATAATAATAATAATAATAATAATAATAATAATAATAATAATAGTAATAATAATTCCTTGTCTCTTCTTTCCTCCTTTATTTTTTTTTTACCCTTTATCTCCTAATCGTTAGTAATTCCTTTTCCTTATTATCATTTTTGTATTAGTGGTAGTTGAAAACATTTAGGGTATGGGACAGTGGGTAAGAGGAACTAGAGCGTGGGCAATGGGCAAGAAGACTGAAGAGTATGGGACAGTGGGTAAGAGGAACTAGAGCGTGGGCAATGGACAAGAAGATTCAGTATATACACAGCGGATGATAACAAAAACCTGAAGTATAAGGCATGGGTATTAAACGTGGGGATAGTATGGGCAAGAGAACCTAGGCCATTCGAACTCAGGCAGCAGGTAAGGCAGGGCGTGGGGGTGGAGTGGCGTAGGTGAGGGGGGCGCGAGGTGGAGGAGAAGGTGGCGTGGTGTATAAGTGAGGGCGCGAGGTGGAGGAGAAGGTGGCGTGGTATGTAGGTGAGGGCGCGAGGTGGTGGAGAAGGTGGCGTGGTATGTAGGTGAGGGCGCGAGGTGGTGGAGAAGGTGGCGTGGTATGTAGGTGAGGGCGCGAGGTGGTGGAGAAGGTGGCGTGATTGTGGGGAGTGAGCGAGAGGTGGTGAAAGGTGGCGTGGTATGTAGGTGAGGGCGCGAGGTGGTGGAGAAGGTGGCGTGGTATGTAGGTGAGGGCGCGAGGTGGTGGAGAAGGTGGCGTGGTATGTAGGTGAGGGCGCGAGGTGGTGGAGAAGGTGGCGTGGTGTGTAGGTAGTGGGTGTGGATGGTGATAGCCCCAGGAAAGTAGAATCATGAATTATATACCACAGGCAGACAGAGAGACAGACAGATGGTGAAACGGCCAGATAGACAAAGGGACGGACAGAAAGACAGACAGATAGCAGGAAGGTATGAGAACCAAGATCTTGAATAGTAAATTTTAACTCCTTAAAATTTTCTTCATATTTTAGGAACTTTGGTATGGTCTCATGTGAACTTAACCTATCTCCACGCAGCATTAAATATACCTGCAGTATCTTGACGTAGCACTGAAAACCTATCCTGATGTAGCACTAAATTTCTATATAGTATCTTAATGCATCACTAAGTACCTATCCTAACTTAATAACAATATTCTTGTCGTAAATGAATAATTATTGTTGTGCTCCCCAAAAATACATACTAATCGTCCATTGTTTATGATGAATGATTAGGTAGAAAACTTACAGAGGATTGGAGGAGATTAGGGACCTTAGAGAGCCGCAGCTTACCTACGTCAACACCAACAAACTCAACACAACAGTCAGCGATAGTGACGGTATACTGATGTCTAGGGTATGTGTGATCGCTGCCGCAGGGAAGGTTCAACACTGCAAATTTTCGCCCGCCCTGCATATTTCTCTATGCAAACTGCTCGACTAACGGGTCTGCCTGAACCATCATGAGTGGTATACGACCCGTGGGCGGTGAAGCACCCATCCACGCACTCTCAACCAGGGTCACTCAGGCACTCTCAAAGTCTCGTGCTCTTATTCTATATAAATACTTTAACTAACATGATAGATTCTTAGAGGTTCGTCCATGTTATTTTTTTTTTGCCACATAACAACCTTAAGCTAATTCAGCAGCTAATATATACTTAGTAATTTCTCCTCCTAGTTTAGCAAAGCTGTATTCTCCAAGGCTACTTTGTTACTGCATCTTTAAGTGAGTTAGTTACATACCCTGTCATATGGTCATTTAAGGTGGAAAATATAACATATTAAACTTTTGAGAACCGATCATTACATCGTAGCTCCTTACCTCACCAGCTTGTGGGGAAAATGTTGATATACGAGCCAGTTAGATGCCCTCTCAGGTCACCAACTAACGAGTAAACTTTCACTTACGAACCTTTGAAAATCGGGACTTGGAGTACACCAGATTGAACCCTAAAATAATGGGGCCACGTCAAGTGTATTTTTAGACCAGAGGCGAGTGTAATTAAAAACACATCCGTTATGTTACCAAGGACGCGTAGTGTAATGTACCCATGACGGGCAGTTGGGGTGAAGAAGGGAAGGGGAGAGTGAGGGGGGCTGGAGGTGGAAGGGGGGAGTGGATGATGTGGATAGGAAGTGGGGGGAGGTCGAGAGGTAGGTGGGAGGGGGAGAATAGATAGGGATAGATGGATATAAAGGTTAATAAATTGATAAAGAGAGAACAGAAAAGAATGAGAGAGAGAGAGAGGGAGAGTTAGCTGCTCCATGATGGGGTGGGGAGGTAGAAGAGAAGAGTAGGAGGCACAGTATCAAGTATCCCCCTGGAGGGAAGATGCAGGTGATGGCAGCTTTAATAATAGCGCCCTGCACTACACTAACATTCTGAATAAACTACCCTCTCTGGGGGGGGGGGGGGTCAAAGATCACGCCTCATAGTGATAATAATAATAACAGTGTAAGATAAATAGGAGGTTTTGATAATGATAATGATTGCAATGATAATGGTGCTGTTTGATAATAATAATAATAATAATGATGATTTTAGCAATATTAAGTTTGAAAGTGATGATAATAACGTCGAGTTTAACATTAATGCTACTACTACTAATAATAATAATAGTAATAATAATAATATTAACAACCACAACTCTCCCATACTCACACACAACCAAATCATCACAACATAACGCTCCTCTTTTGTTTTCAATCTAAAGCTCACTGTACTATATTGTCCAACATGTACATTTACTTGTTGCCAAGATAAAAGCATACATGAATGATATTATATGTATCACTTCAAAGCAAGCACGGCAGGTTAATTAAGACTAGGTGTGTGTCCGACAGGTGTGTATCTGATAGGTGTGTCCTTGACGGGTAAACGGAAGCAAGATGCAAATGTGACGACGAATAAAGAGGAGTTTAAGATCGTGTTAGTGTCCCCAGAGTTGACATAATGTGTGTGTGTGTGTGTGTGTGTGTGTGTGTGTGTGTGTGTGTGTGTGTGTCGCTCTCTGACAAGTAAAAACCATTGACAATTGGTTTTTGGAGGCGTCTGTAAATTGGTTTCTCAAGCAACAGTACAAGAAAAACGATAAGAATGTAGATAGCAACAGGAGGTGAGAGCCGTTAATAGTAGTAGGTGAAGTAAGTAACAGGAGTTAAGAACCATTAACAGCAACAGGTGAAGTAAGCAACAGGAGGTCAAAACCATTAACATCAACAGGTGAAGTAAGCAACAGGTCAGAATCATTACCATCAGGTGCAGTAAACAACAGGGGGACGGGACCATTACAGCTTCTACGAGTCTACATGATGATCACGTATTTGAACCAGACCGAAGACTCGTACTTTGCATAACTCGGTGCGTGCTGAGGGAAGGACCTGATGTTCATACGTAATTACTGTAACTGTGTACGTATCTGAATCTTAAATACCTAAGTTTGTATACACATTGACTACGTATTATATGTATAGATTAATACATTTAGTGATACAAATGGAATCTCTTGTCAGTATGTATGTTACGTTGCCAAAAGTCGCCACCATTCATCACCACAATAATAATGACATTGTGTAAGTCGGCCCTGCAAAGGTGTCCATCCCTCATTCACCGGACAGCTGGTCCATCCGGATAAGGAGGCACCGATAACACCGACTTTAACACCGGATTAGAGGGACGGTAATAACTCCCTGACAGTCTGGTTATATACCGTTGATCATGAGATACTAA